GTGTTTGAATATTAGATATTTGATTACGTAATTTATAGTGAATAAAATATGCATGGAACATTATAAATATATTAAAGTATTCATGTTTGGTGTAACAATGTACATTAAACATATCAAGGATCCATTAAGGAAATAATTTGCAACCGTTCTGAGAATTATTCGGACAGTCAGTTAGCAAACTGATTTGCAACTTTGCAAAACACTTTGCACAATCCGGACTTGTTGGAGCCACTTGATTGACGGGCGCGTGGTTTGGGATTACTATTTCATAGAGGTTGTCGGCATGATGAATTGCAACTATTATCTAGCATCCGCATACGGCAACCATTCTTTATTTCTTATATTAATATTGTAATTTTTTCGGTAATTTTAAAAATCGCAAGTTGGGTGTTGCTTAAATTTGTCGACAAATTTCAACCCATCGCTCATTTCAGTCAGTTGTACCTGATACAAAAATGGACTAGACAAAATAACGATCGTCATACCATCGTTATTTTCAAACTGCAGTTGGAAAAGCGATTTAGATTTAGATTAGGCACTTTAGATTTGAAAGCTCATCAAACCGTTATAATCATGTTTTCCAACTGTACGTACTCTCCCACTTCGGTATAAAATCTGAATTTGATACATAATGCACCAGTAATGTTAAAACAACTGACTGTCCGAATAATTCTCAGAATGGCTGCAATGGTACAATGAAGTATGATATGTTCACACACGATGTAAACAAGTTAATATATTTCCTTGTTATTGTTTGGTTTCGGTAGACGCTTATGTTATTTATCAGTTTAAATCTGAACCGAGTTAATTGTACCTTGTGACTGCATTTCCCGCAATGCCGTCGTTATGGCGGCCACGACACCGCCTGTAACATCTTTAGTAGTGGTGGTCTTTGCCCATCCTATCACCGTGTTCCCTCTCAGAATAACGGCGTCAGTGTTGGTGTACCCGACGTCTACACCAATGCAGCAGAACTCCGCCGACATGTTGTGTACAAATCACGACTACTAAACCCGCACAAATACAATCTTACATGCAAATCTGGCCTTAAAAAGGCCCAGGTACTAACTATACTATAAATACGCTTCTAAACAAGCCAAGCTCCAGTAAAAACGCATTTTCCCGAACGTACAGGTCGATTATGTCGTGCCAAAGTGAATGTATGTGACTATGAATATCACAGCAGTGACTGTGTGTTGTATTTATGAAAATAAATAGTGTACGAGTTGAGATTTTGGCGGATAAAAGTCAAAAACAGGAACCGAGGAAAGGGACGCGATACTAAGCTTGAATAATTAATTGTTGTCAAAGTCACGTGATGTTGGACCGCTGAAACAGGATGCGTCATCTAATCTCCAACACAGACGGACTGTTGCTTCCACTAAACATTTACACAGTTCCTATATCACATAGCCGATTCATCGAAGACAATGACAATCGTGTTCCCAAATTTAAAAAGTCGCTACAGAGCGTACGAGCCGAAAATAACACAGTCTATGACGGTAAATGGATCATAAATGGGACTCGAATCACGTGATATCTAGGGTTGCCGATGACGGTACACTTATGACAATTTTTATAAAATCTATCAAATCATTTCTTTCAACGTGACTACAAAAACTAGTCTTCACGGTCATGCTAAGAATATATAGCCGTTCTGTCTCCGATACAAGTGGTTGCAGTCGGTTAACAATTTCTTTCACGCAGTGCTTTTAGCGACAGATAAACAGAAGCCTTAAACTATCTTTTTAAAATAGCTATTATACTATGCTACACTCGAACACATTTGATATTTACGGCTTTTCTCTTTTTGTAGGGTGTGGGTGGCCCTGAAAAGGGCCGTTCGTTGTGTGTGTAACTAGTATATACTCATTTCAATGCCATCGATGTTCCATATAAGGCACTGTTGATAAATTAGGGTACATCGAACGAACTTGTTGTACAACACAGACTGGAATGATTTCCCTCTTAGTGACAACAACATCATCGGTAATCATCAACTAACGCTTGCGTTCAATGTATTGATCGTCATTCCAAACGTTTCTACGTCCCAACATCATTCAATATTTCTTGTACATCCGACGTCTTATAACAGCATTAGTATCACACGGACCTTGGCCACTGCCCAGCCAATCTTGCTTATTCGTTTTAACGCAAGGCTGGCAAAAACAGAAATTACATTAATTCCTTTCTATTGCTAAACAGGGCCAGAGCACAGGAAGCCCATTAACCATGATCAACTGTACCACAGTCCCCGTGGCTGTACACAGTCTCTATGAGCGAGGGAGGGGGGGAGGTACTGGCTGTTATATAGTGTAAGAAATAGACAAGGGATGAAGGCACCGGCGATCTCATATTTTTTAAACTGGAAAAAACAGACGAACAGAATGAAAAATAAAATCTATAAAAAATACCAGGTTGAAGAATATTAGTTGCTCTTTCAAATTTCGCCAATTCTTTACCTATATTTTACCTATATCTGCTGAATAAATCAAGAAAACTACACAAATTGAATCAATTTATGAATAATGAATGGTTGGCCCGAACGCACGGCACAGTTGGAGGCGTGGCCTGTTCAGAATTTGTCAACAACCAATCATAACACTGGTTACGAACCACATCGAGGTTAAGACTCGGTTAGCCCTGCTCAACTGGTTCGTAACCTGTCTTGTGATTCTTCGCCTCCAACTGTGCCGTGAATTCACGGAGTCAGTTTATTAAAACTGAAATATTACAATAGGTTGTGTTTAATGGAATCAACCAGATGGTCAAAAGTTATTTTTAATAAACAAACTGCAGTTAAAGGGGTGAAAAATCTGAATAAGACCTGGCCATGGCTAAAAAACATTGAAGATATGGAAAGAACTATAAAGATGAACAAAAGCCAATTTACTAATCTGTCTGAAAGAAATGTTAAAAATGTGATTATAAATAGTGACAGATTCAATGGAAACAAACAATGGCAGAGAAATCACGTCTCGTCCATTATAGAAAATTTAAAACAAATTCTGTATCCAACTTCAAGGGTACCCAATTAAAATTTAAGGCAGGATCCTACACTCTTGGTTTGGCATATGAGAAAAGGAAATGGGCAAACTTTGATAACAATGATTGTATCTGTCCATGTTGCAAAAAGGAACACTTGAGCATTTCATATTACATTGTGAATGTTTCTCAGCACAGAGAAAACCCCTAATGAAAGGGATTAAATGCTTCTGTTTTTTCTGCTTTTAGATGTTTTTTGTTGTTGTTATATTTAGTTCGTGTAACTTAGTTTCTATTTTGTCAATCAAAAGTGAAATGTATTATTTATTTGGTGCAGCTCCTAATTTACATAGTGAGCCCGTTACAAAAGAGAAGCAATAAATAAATAAGTAAATACGCATTTCCAATTTTGTTTCTTAAACACAAATTATTTAAAATGTAATTAGGAATTTGCTTGATCTGTAAAGTGTGAAAACCAAATTTTCACTGAACACGGAACTTTTATTTTATTTCCTGTAAAATAACTTTTTTATTTCCTGTAACTTGCACCAGCTATCCTCCCTTGCCCCCTCAAGTGGTAATATGTCCATCGTGATATAATTTTTACTTTATACTAAAATATGTTTGGATATTTAGAATTTTTAGAAATTTGATAAGTATACATTATATGGCGTCCAGATGAAGCATACCAAATCACCTCGACCCCTGTCCAGTTCGACCCTGGACACCTCGACCCACGGTAGTTGCTTCGACCCCGGAGTTATACACTGTGCGTCCCAAGAATATATATTTTGATTCACTATATTTCAATCGTGTAAACATATAAAGATTGTATATATATTTCATTTCACTGACAAGTTAATTGTCGTTGCTTGTCGATTTATGTTCATTCTATCGCACACAACCGCTAATGGACGTCATCTTGGATTGAACCACTGTACTTGTATACTGCGCTGTACTGTATATTGCCGACGCACACATTTTTACTAAGTAATACCTCAATGAGGCGATGTCGACATTATTGAAACGAATGTTTAACAAGTTATTTTTATATTTTATTTATTTCGCAAATGAGGTGTTACCAACGCACATATTCAATGAGGTGATGCCGAAACGAGTTGTCACTCTAATACTGATACTTAATAAAAGGCGTGATAAAAGAGTGTATTAATTATAGCACCATGTAAAACTGTCATGATTGTGAT